TTTCTGTTACTCATATAATTTCAAATTTTATTTTATTTATCAGATCCAACCCTTCCGTGAGAAGCCACAGGAGTATAAATTTGGTGACTCATTGGACTGTGTAGGATTTATGAGCGCACCTATTCTCGCTGGTTTATTTGTAACATTCATGCTGGCTGCCATCGTTGCTCTTGGAATTTGTATGATGATGGACTTAAAAACAATGGATCGTTTTGAAGATCCTAAAGGAAAAACAATTACTGTTACTGCCACAGAATAAATACTTTTTCCGGGTGCATGGATTTCCAGATGCATCTTTCTTGTTGTTAACCAACGATTTGAATTACAGTGTAATTCAAATTTCGTGCACATTTATATAAGTAGTTATTGTAAATATAAATTCTTGGATTGTCAGTATGTTGGTCTAGTTACTTCTGCCTAACACACATTGTAAATATTAAAATTTTTATTAGGAACTTGAAAATTTATTTTTAACAAGTACAATAAACCTAACTTGATGGCAGTATTAATTAAATAAGATACGTCTATATATTTTAAAGTGTAAAATATAAAGCCGTGATATAAATGTATGAGTTGTCTGTTGAATATTCCAAAATATATTGTATAATATGTATTAAATTATGAGTTCTTGTATGTTACTATATATTTAAATGGAGCAAAGTAAAATAATGACAATAAGTTTCTTGAAGAATATCGTTCATGTTACCATAAAATAAATTACATACCATCTTATAGAATGCTCCCATTGTAATATAAATCAATTGTATTCAGAACATATCATTTGTAAAATTAGAAATAAAACATGATGCATTGCAAAGAAATGCCTGTCATTAGATTATTATGAAGACACAAAGTAAAAATGTAGATATGTATAATAGCAACATGCCTTAGTAAATGTTATATTTTGTAGCAAATAAAACTGTTATTATATATCGAAAGGCTAGCCTTGTAATTATAGTTTTATTTATTTGAATACAAAGTTTTTGAATCGATTAATATTTGATTATGTACTATTGAATTATTGTTTTCAGCCAACATTTAGGTTAATGGAACGAAGGTCATGGTTTCGCCAGAAAATCTGATTTGTCAAATTAGTTTTTTGGACACTTCATGCCATTCTGAATCGTTTGACACCAAAATTGGAAGAAGTTTGTGGGACAAAATTTGACTTTCGTCACTTGATAAGTCGATTAGTTCTGTAACACGATCGGCCCAGTCGTTTCTTTATAATTAGCAGCTAAGTGCAATATTTTTCATACACGTTTTTAGCCAAAATCTTGAACCAATTTCGAAAATTAAGAAACCGTTCGAAAGGTATCAGTAGGGACTCTTACAGATTTTAGCAAAGGTCAACCGGACCGCTTTTCCGTAATTAATTGTTGATTTTTTTTAACGATTTTGATGAATCTTTATATGATGATATAGTTCATGGTCTTTACAAACATCCCAAAATATTATGAGCTTACGACAAGGGGTTTAATTATGATAATTCATTAAAGTTTAGACTAAGGGTGTCAAAATTTCAAAAGTTTATTTGCACAACTTGGCAAGTTGCTAAATGTCAATTTTTATCATTAGGTCGATTATATACGAATATCGGAGTTTTTGCCTTAAGGCAAAATGCCACTTACGCCTAGTCAATTTTTTTTGTCTCTGAAAAAAAATCAGAAATAGCACAACCAGAATAATATATTATTCTTATAAGATTCTTATTCCACTATATAGATTCGTATTAGAATCTATACAGAAAATTCCAATAGGAATCGTGGTATTTTTCTATGAAACACGATATTGGGTAAGAAATGTAAAATAAATTTAATTCTTTAAACATCTGCCAAAATAGATAATGTTTTTATAAATACCTTATTATCCAGCAGCCCATAAATATCTGTCTTGCGTGTTTTTACACATGTCAAATGTTTATGCACTTACAAAAAGTTGCTTAAATTAAATTGTTTATTTTCACGTAAATCACTGTGTCCAATATTTTCAATATCGCACTCAAAAGAAATAATGTAAAAAACAATTCTACAACTTTTTAAAAAAATGTAATGAGAATTTGTTCATAAATACTTTATAAATCGTAAATAACCGATTCGAGAAAATTTACAGGCAAGCAATTGTTGAAGGATCGTTTGCGCCATGTTTTTACATTAACGTGCCAAATGTTACTACACTAACAAAAAGTTGCTTAAATTAAATATAAAATTAAATACTTTTACATGAAACATTGTGTTATATTAACACTATCGCACTCAAAAAAGTAATAGGAATAAAATAAATTTTTTACGACTTTCGGAAGAAATAGATCGAGATTTGTTTTATAAATACCTCTTATAGTCCATAAATATTCCGATTCGAAAAATGGCAACCAGCCGTTGAAAAACCCTATTTTAACTACTGATTACAATTTTTATACGTGTTTTTACACTCACAAAATGTTTTTACACTCACAAAAGTTACATAATATAAACTGTTTGTTTACTTCCACACAAATCAATGTGTCAAAAATTATTACTACCGCACTCAAATGCAACTGACAACAAACTGAATTGGTTTGTTATCGTCCTTTAATTACACGTGAAGTACACTTCGAACTTGCAACTGCATGGGCGCCAACTGGCGGTTAATTTGAAAGTATTTGAATTTCAAAATAAAATTTTAAGAGAAACAATTCATGTTCATTCATTCACAATCTCATCTACATATTCATATTAGAAGAAAAAAAAATATAATTAAGATTAAATATATATATATATATATATATATATATATATATATATTAAGAAATCACACCGCTTATATAATAGATTCTCAAACTTTTTGTTTGGACCCCTTAGCCATTGACGCAATATAGATTTTTTTTATAAATTTCTAACTATACTAACGTTTATTATTAAATAATTAAAATATAAATACACATTACTTGTATATATTTATTAAATGAATTTAATTTTTGTTTATATATTTTTAACAGCAATCAGAACCTTATGTCCCCTAACATGTTAGGCTAAAACTTCTCCTTACTTCCTATTCTTTGCATTTCAACAAGTGAATATTCACACAGATTGCCTTCTTCAAGCTAAACCGTAAAAGATACGAAAAAACTTCGTTCAAAAGATGCAGAATAAAACCTTATAGATAAAAATGAATCGCAAAATGTGTTGGTAAGCGCATAATTCAACAACGCCTGGGCCAATTTGGCCAATTCTTTTTTTTAAATATTCGTTGAAGTCCAAGGATGGTTCTTACGGCGAGAAAAAATCGATTAATTGCCGAAAAAACCCCAAATACAGCCCTTCTTGTTCTAACCCTAAACCGTAGAATCAATTTAAGCTTAATTTTTTTTATAATGTATAAATAAATAAGGTTAATTTGAGAATTTATAAAGGTAAACTGATGTACGGGTAAATTGTAGGATATGTAAAATGGTAGAAAGAGAACTGGTAGATAAACAAATATGTAGACAAATAAACAAGTTGGCAGGTTAATTGGTAGACATGTAGAACGGGATGACAGGTAAATTTGTGGCTCGGTAAAATGGTAGATTGATAAACAGGTTGATAGGTAAATTAGTTGACAAATTGTTAAAAGGATAAATTGTTCAACAGGTAAATTATTGAACAGGTTAATTGGTAGACATTTGGAACGGAATCACAGGTAAATTGAAAAGCAGGTAAATTGGTTGACAGGTAAATTGGTAAGCCGGTAAAATGGTAGATTGATTAATAAGTTGATAGGTAAATTCGTAGACAAATTGCTGAATAGGTAAATTGTTGAACAGATAGTAGTAACGTTAAACCAAATGTAACAAATACATATCTTTGTTAAATTTCTAATTAAAACTAAATCACGGCAAAGCGTGAACGGGTACAGCTAGTTACGAATAAAATGATATAAAAATAGTTAAGTATGTTCATATAATTTTTCGAGATTTTTCAGTTTTCCTTAAATTTTTTGATAGCAACTCGCCTGTAGGCCACACCGTTCGGAATTCGAAGTTGCGATATATGGGGAAAAAACTAAGAATTTTGAGACCTTTCTAACTATGTATAATACTTTATATGTTTTATTTACAGAAATATCGAATAGTGGCTGGAACCTAACCGCACTTTGAATTCGAAATACCTAACCCAACGGTTAATCCATCCATATTTAATGATTTTTTTTAATTATTAGAATAATCGACTGTGATAAATTTAAAAGTTCCATCAAGGATCTTAATGACACTGCACCTAAAGACAGTTTCAAGATGAAATATAAATATGAAATTAACTTATTATTTATACATTTATATAGCACGATTATTTGACCATGTTTGCGATCGATTGACCGATTAAAATCATGCGAAAATCTATTTAAAACAATATTATTAATTCAATCAAACTAAATTCACTTTCTCAATACCAGTAATTATAACGATATAATAAACATTTCTATAATTTTATATAGCTTTATTATGGTAAGAACTATAACATGAGTGATTTAATATCAGACTAGTTTTTAAAATATATAGAAATAATTAAGAAAACATTAAAATATGTTACAATCAATTTAACCTATAATATATTTTGAAAATGACTAATAGAATTTCCATATGTTTGTGGTATATAAATATGTACATATACTTTTATTATCTATTTACAGAAAACATTTATGATATATATTTTTATATTATTTACGTCAATACATCATTTTATTATATAATAATAATGCTTTATATATTTTTTAAAATTATGAAATAATACTAATTATAATTTCATGATAGAAAATATTTAAAATATTAAAAAAACAAGATAAAAGCAAACAATATTAATATGAATCGATATTGTTTCTAAGCAAATTTAAAAAATATTCATATATTATATAATACACACTAATATCATCTGAATATATAAAATTTATATACAAAGTTGAAAAGTATCATATTAGTAAATGCTTTGGTATAAGTGATCTGTCAGAAGTTGAAATAGATGAAAGTCGAAAATTTACCTGCAGCTATCAGGATTAAAACACGTACCTTTTTAGTAATATTTAAGAACAGAGTATTTTGGCCATGAGATAAACGCCTCTAAATATAACTATTTATGATATGGTTGTCCCAAATATATGTATATGAACATTTAAAATTGTATCTGCGATTCTCAATTATTAAAAATTGGTAACGTCGTTCGGAGATCGGTAACGACATTTGGGGAACTGCATTTAGGGCACCTCTTGTTCGAATCCTGAAATGAAATAAGAGTTTGAGTAATAAAAATAATAACATTTAATTATAATATGAATCAAACTATGGTATGTTGTTACTTACAGAGCACATTAGGCATTTTTGATCTTCAATTTCGGTGATCGTAGTAGAATCGCCTTCCAACTCTCTGATACGTGCTCTTAATTCTTCTAGAACCTAAAAATATATATAATTTAACTAAAAATATAAACAATTATAATTAATCTATTAGTTTTTATAAACTTATGATTATAACAAAAATTGAACCTTTGTGCATGTAAAGATAGTCAAATTAGTCTTTTGTACCCCAGCCTGCCATAACTACATTTTCATACCATTCATTCAATTAATCAATAATGTTTTTATTTATTTTCTAATATTATTATTTTTACATTGGTCTAATTTATCATCAAAATTAATAATTTTATTGTCTTATATTATTATATATTAAATAAATTTACCTGTGCTCTAGAACTGGGTTCGGCATCAGAAGTAGAAACTAAAGGGTCACAGGGCGTGGTTTCAGTGGCCGTAGCAGCGGGTTGGACATCCATACTTGAATTTACTGTTGGTTCTTGAGATTGTACACGATCCGTGCTAAATTTTGTAACAAAAATACATTTAGCATACTAGTTTATCATTCGTAAATTATAGATTAAGGGACTGATTCTGTCGCATAACAGAACAGTGTTATGGAAAGGCCATGTTATAAAGAACTTTCCATACTAAATATTGACAAAAGCCATGTGGTTGGTGTGCAGTCAGGCGTATTTCTCAGGTTGTCAGATAGAAAACTTAACCTAGAAACCGCTCAAATGTAAAATAAACGATCTCAGATAGCAGGGTGTTTCTGACACAGCTTCATAACATACGAGTGATGTTGCAGTTCATGTGTAAAACGTCTGAATGCACAGCAAATACATGACATTTGGACAGTATTCAGTATGATTCAGTAGCATAATGTATGAAAGTTGGAGCGTAACATGGCCTTGCCATAACATTTTTCTGTCATGCGGAAGAATCGGTCTCTCAATTATGCATCATCATTACCTATTGTTGTCCTTGCGTCGTTCTTTCTTTTCTCGTTGTCCATCAGAATCTTCAGCGCGATATGGGATGGTCTGCATATTTTGCTCGTCGACTTCATCAGCTTCATCACCATCCACAACTAGATCTGCAGACTCGCTGGGTTCGCTGCCTTCTACGGCCTGGTCGCTGCTACTTGGCGTGGCAGTCGAACCTAAAAGAAAATGATACATTTATAAAGGTATAATCATCACACATCGTAATTTTTTCTTATTTTTGAACATCAATCAGAATTTAAAAGTTGTATGATCTTTTGATAAATATCTTAAATCAGTCGTTTTTTAGAATCGACCCAACACTTGCCTATCTATATTTGATATATTTTTTTTATTAGAATTTTTATAATATTGTTAATCTATGTTCTCAGGCGAAAACGAATCTCACTAATGTTTGATATCAGGCCGAGGTAAATCTTCTACTTGCAAGACCAAAGCTTTTACCACGGTAAGCCACATTGCAAATCAAATATATTTTTTTCGTATATTTATTTACTTATTTCAATCTATTTTTAATTTGTTTTTTCCCTTACTGGTTAGCCCAGCCAAAACGGCCGACGCTCGTGGTCTTCGTTGACCATCGCACCAGGAAGCGACGTCTTCGAATGACTCAGAATCGCCTTCAACGTCAACTGGCTCATCTTCATCAGTAGCTGTGCCCATTGCAACGTTCATACTATTGGCAGTATTATGCTGTAAAAAATTATATACAATTGAACTAACATAAAGTAGTAATAAATTAGTATAATTACAGTTTTATGTGCTGTTGTTGCTACAATGTTGTACGCTTTGAACGAAAATTACCTTCCTAATGCACATTTCAACATGCGCGGTGAGTTCATCAGGCGAGCGAGGCATTCGGCTGTGACAAACTGGACATGCAGTTTCTTCAACTTTACGTTTTCGCGCTTTGATGCGTAGACGACTCTGTCGATTAGTCTTGATGCGCTGAAAAGTCTAATAAATAGAAATGATTATTATAATTTTTTTTACCAATTTAGTGGCTTAAGTTGTTATATGAGGCACACTGTTACAATGCAAATATCTCTGTTTCTGTAAATCACTTTTATAATGTTACTATATAGTTTAGACAAGTTCATAAATGTCCACCATTTAACAGTTGTCATCGACCAAATCAAATTTATGTGGTCAAACGTAAAAAAGCACGACAAACTACTTCAATTAGATCAAAACTATTGATGTTCAATAAAATTTCATTATACAAAGTTATTCTCAAACCAGTTTGGATGTATGGCATCCATCTATGGGGTGCTGCTAAAGTCAGTAACTTACAAATAATGCAACGATTTCAAAATAAAATACACTGACAAGCAATATCCGCGCCAAGGTATGTACCGACATGGCTAATTCACCAAGACACTGATACACTCACAATCAGTGCAGAAATTAAAAAGAGTGCCCATAATTTCAAGACTAAAATTGACCACCATCCAAACGAACTGATTGCAAGTCTTTACAACACCACACATAATATAAGATTAAAAAGAATACAATTAATAGATCTAACACATTAATCAATAATAAGTTGTTCTACCATATTATTTAAAATAGGTGTGTGTATGTTTATGTATAGTCTGTGTAATGTACTTTGTTTATAATTGTATGTATATTTGAGTTTCCTTTTTTTCTTTATTATACCAAAATTAAAATATAATTTAGTACACTAATAAAAGGTGAACCACTGGGTTTTCCTTTTAAAATTTAATATATTATTTGTCAAACTAATTACTCAATGTCTTTCTATTTAGACAGATTGTAATTTATAAGAAAAAAAAAAACTTCAATCATCTCTTAAGGGAGTGTATTTTATATACGTAAGTAATTGTGGTTTTTCAAAGTTCCTTGTATGTTTGGCTTCCGATTACCCTTAAGTCCATTAGAAAAATAATACATTTACCTCCCATCGGCCATCCGGGCCGGGGTCTCCAGGCACTCCTGTGCCCGTTGGCCTCATCATAGCCTCATGACGACGATTCCTGTTCGGCGTGGCAGTCAACTTGTACAAACGTTCCAATTCCTGAACAAAGTGACTTTCTAGTTCTCCTGCCTGAAGAGTTACTCCGCAGACGGGACAACATGCTCCGTTGATGGAACCGCTCACCCCGTTTGGACCCAGTACTGGCTTCTTGCAGGAAGCTGGAATAGAAAATTTTCACTATTTACTTAAAAGTCATACTAGTATTAATAATGAATATTCATTATTTAATCAATTATTTAATTAATAAATAGATGATTTGCGATTACGGATCTAAAGCTTAAATTAACAAAATTAAAAAAATTGACCACTATAACCGAAAAATAGTCACATTTTCACCAAACCTCATAATTTAAAGCTTATACGCTTATAATTTTCAAACTACGTAAGATTTTTTTTTAATTTCTTCCATGATAGTTATGATCCATACTGTCACCCTGTTTCAGCTTGACGTCGAGTTCTGGGACACCCTGTATATTTATATATATATACCTATATATCATATATATTATCTCGTGTGTTTATTTAATATTTATAAAGCTGTGCATTTAATACAGAATCCACCGATCTCGATCCTTTCTCAAGTGGAGAAATGAGTCCTCCTTACTCCTTAGCCTAAGTACGACATCCCCGCGACATCCCCGCGACAACCCCGCGACATCCTCCCCCCTGAGGCAAATAATCCTCAGACGGCGCGAATGACAAATGCTAATGTATACATCAACAAGGATTCCAGGTGGGCGCCGCGAACCCCGACGAGAGCGGAGAGCGCATCCTTAATCTGGTCTTAAACGAAAAACATAAGCGGCCGACCGTTAATAACATTTTCCCGTAAATCACACGGACTATTCGTAATTTATAATACACATCTTCTCTTAGTTAACGCGGAAAAGAAATCTCATTGCGCTCTTCCATCCACTCAACGAATTGAATTTTGAGATTTTAGCTTTCGTTGATTTTCATACATATCCATCCTAAAAAGTTCTAATAAAACTTTTGTAATCCCGAAATCCTTCGGAGTAGGGGTAGTAAATGGCACATATAAATACATACCTGTAAATTATTATAAGGACAGTGAGTATAGCACAGTGAATAAATAGGAAAAAAGGATGTAACTTCCGAATTTTTTTTTACTGTGCTCCAATTTGGATAAAATTTTGAAATTAGTCTCATCTTATACTCAAGATCAAATGTAAAACAATTTGAACTCCGCCGGGGGGAGGTTTGCAACACCTTAATAAAAATATTGACATTGACTCATTATATCGCTTAAAAACGTGTTTAATAATAAAGTGCAAAATTGTAAAGTGTTTTCTAATACATTTGCCTTATATTTAGAATATAATATTTCAACTCCTTGAAACCCCTGTAAACAACCTCTAAATTGAAAAAACATCTAAAAATTTTGGTATAAAATAAAAAGATCGAGGAATGCTGTAAATGATATATTATATTCTCTATATTAGTTGTCGAATTTTCAACACCGTCTCGACCTTTAAAACCACCCCCTTTATGAAAAATTATTTAAAAAATATTTTGAAACAGATCTTTTGTCTTCTACGTTGAAATAATATAGCAAAATGTATTTGTTTAAAATTTTCAATAAAACTATTTTAAGCCAGATATTAGCCAATCTCTCAAAATACCAAAAGTAACCATGCGATTTTATTTTAACATAATATTATTAGTGTAATTCATATGATTCGTGAAAATATAAAATAGCATTGAAAAAACGTAGTCAGTCCAAAAAAAAAAAAACGATAGCTGTGCCCAAAGAAATGTGAAAATTTATTATCTGTCTATATTATCTAATATTATGCCACCTATTATCTGTTGACGTAATAAAAATGAGAAATTTAGTAATAATTATTGAAAATGCCATATAGTTCGATATAGGGTCATTGAGAAAATACGAAATCTTCCAAAAATTACCATCATCCCTTCACCCTTTGCCGGAAGATCAAATACTATTTTTTTTACTCATGAGTTAATAATAAGTTCAGACTAACTGTTATTTTACAATATTGATAAATTTTTTATTGATACCTTTATTTTTTATTGATAAGTTTTGTAATTTGAATGATTTTTTATTTAATTTCCAGCTATCAATTTATAATTAAAAGTTCTACTTTTCCAATCTCATAATCAAACTTTATTTCAAACGAAACTTCTCAGTGTGATTTTTATCATGAAATATTTTTCTACAAACAGTTTCTTTTCTCGATGTCGTCCCGTGATTTCATTATATCGTGTTCCTTTGACTTTGTCCAGTCGCCATGGATAATTCGATGACGCGATTAAATCTCTTCTGTTTAAAGGTACAGTACTGATTTTGCCGAAGACTCACTCGTTGACATCAAAGACTGAGATTAAAACGTCTGACCGAATTATTTTTAATTATTTTTCTCGGGTACTGAGATATTTAACACGGCGATCAAGGCGTAATATTCTTCTAGATTTTAAAATTGGATTTGATGAAGGTAGAATTAAATAAATATATAAGTTGATTAACTTATGGTAAACACCAGTAAGATCAATCGCAAGTGACCCTTTTTTGAATTTGTTTCAAAAAGCTTATATTTTTTGCATTTAACTACAAAATATCAATTTTCAGAAGCTTTATAAAATAAAAAGTATTTGCTGTAGTTGATTTCATAGTGCAAGTCTAAAAAACTGGTCTCAAGTCTAAAAATCTAGTCAATATAATTATTTGATACGATTAACTGTTAATTTTTATTTTACTATCCAAACCAAAACCAAATAGTCCAAATCAAATTAAATTGCTGACTCTTTGATAATATAAAAATCAATTTTTGCAAGACTATCTTAATTATAGTCCACTCAGCGGACTTTCATCGCCTCTGACCATTCCAATGGACACTTAATTATATGTACAGTAAACCATAACGCATGTATAAATCATAGATAAGTTCCTTTTGATGATTTTTTACTAATCAACCACTTACAAAGCAATCAATTTAATCGAGTATATCAAAGACAAGTATCGACCTAAGTTCAAAATTTTGAAAATATCATATACAACTAAAGTAGTACATTTGTACTGATTTGCGCAATCACTAAGTAAACAAATAAATAGTAGGAACAAAATGTATCAATATTGAAAATTTCCAATGGATAAGTATTTCGTAGAAATCTGTCGCTATCAACATACTTTAAGATCAATTAATTAGAATATTTGATTAACATAAATTTATCAAGCATTATAATTTTACATAATGCTTTTAAAACAATACATATACTAGATATATTATTGGATTATCAAATGATTTTTGTTTATTTAATCAGTTTAGGCGATTTTACAATTTAAAATGGCATAATACGAAAATTGTGTACCAAAATCTTAAACCTGAGAAAATTAAAAAAAAATACATAAAAATACTAAATAGGGTAGAGCTGGACTTACAGGTCTGCGGAAAAAAAATCCACCAACAAAATCTCAAAACAAGTAAAGTTAGAAATTTTTTGTTAACAATATTTGAAAGTAGAGGGTAAAATATGTATAACTTATAGTGAGCTCTGCTGTTTAGTTTACGAAACCTTGGTATAATATTTAGGTATACGTTATTTAATTGGTTTATAAGATGTATTGTTATTTATAAATTAGATTCAACAGATTATTTAATGTAACCTCCATACAAGCTCATATATGATTGGGGCGAAAAAGACCAACAATACCTTTACTCTGGCAAAGGTTGTAAACAATAAGAAAATAGTAAATAAAAAGGTAAAAGAAAAAGCAATTTTAAATAAATAGTTAATCCAACTCTGCTGATGAATATTTCTGACAAAATACTAGATCAAGGTTATATACAGTGTTATCTCTGTAAAAAATGCACCCATAAAATTTATCCTTGGCATTGGTTGAATAATGTAGCTAGCTACTTTGTAAAATCCCTTTAAAATTAAAAATACGACATTGGATCTGTTTGCCCATGGCTGTCCCATTTCATGCCGCCCATGGGGTAAAAAGAACCATAAGACAAATTTTTGCGAAAAACTGCAAAAAAATACATTGCTGCAAAAAAAGTAGCTGCGAGTTTTACTGAACATAGTTTTACTATGTGTTATTTGTTGTAATATTAAAAAAACTAATATTAAAATAAAAAAAACATCTTATAGATCAACCTATCTATTCAATTAATGAATTTTTTAATCCATGATGAATATTAATTGTCATTAGGTTAATCCTAGAGTTGCTCATAAACATAACTGATATTAGTTTAGTTATATTATAGTATTGTGATAAAAATAATATTGATAATTGAAGTTGTAAATATTGAATTTAAATAAAGTATCTATCTATCTATCGGTCTATAACAATTGGTTCGGTTTTCACAATAAAATTGCTCAAAATCAAATTGGACCTTTATGCCCCGCCGTACCCTATATCAAATACCATATTTAAAAAATTTATCAATTACCAAGTCCCGTTCGCCGTGAAACCAATTCGTTAGGCGTAACCTCGGCGTTAAGTGTCGCAGGCAATAAATTTATGAAACAATAAAGTCGGACAATGACATTTAACAGGAACAATCATTAAGGTGGATAATAAGTCGCATACAATTCATTTAGCGCGCTCGTAAATGCGCTTTTAGTATCATTCGCGATTACGGACTGCGGGGATCCCTTCCCTACGGCGAGGATTTCGCTACGCGTAGAACGGCTACGTGTTGTATGAGGAATGAATTATAGACAGGCGATATTATGAAAAAATTATTTATGAGAACAAACTAAACTCACACACTACTAAATAAAAGACATAGTTTTCATAAATTTTCATAAAATAACTCAAAGGTTTCAATATAAAATATTTAGAAAAATAACAAACTCTCCGAAATACGTTCCGATTTGGCTTTTACATAACGAAATCAATATAGCTACGTATAACCAAGAAATTCAAAACTACCGTTTAACATATAAAACCAGAATTGGCGAACATCCGAATCCCAATGACCGTACACTGCTGAAGATTCATAGCAATGAATAAAAAAAGACGACCTCTGGCAAATATTTAACCGTTTAACGTTTAACTAATATATGTATAGTTCTATGAAGTCAGCTTTTTTATATTCACGAACATCTGGCCACTGGAGTAGAGTTCGATATTATGTCACGTTAACGAATTTGCTTATTTACAAAA